TGAAGAAAGAAATTGAAGAGAATACCAGAAAATAGAAGGACCTCCCTTGCTCTTGGATTGGGAGGATCAACATAGTAAAAATGGCAATTCTACCAAAGGCAATTTATAGATTCAATGCAATCCCCATCAAGGTCCCATCAAAATTCTTCATGGATCTGGAGAGGACAATAATCAACTTTATATGGAAAAACAAAAAACGCAGGATAGCCAAAACAATCCTATACAATAAAGGATCTTCTGGAGGCATTACCATCCCTGACTTCAATCTCTATTACAGAGCTACAGTAATGAAAACAGTGTGGTACTGGCATAAAAACAGAGAAGTCGACCAATGGAATCGTATAGAAGACCCGGATTTTATCCCACAAACCTATGAACACCTCATTTTAGATAAAGGAGCTAAAAGTATACAATGGAAGAAAGAAAGCATCTTCAACAAATGGTGCTGGCACAACTGGATGTCAACCTGTAGAAGAATGGAAATAGACCCATATCTATCACCGTGCACAAAACTCAAGTCCAAATGGATTAAAGACCTCAATATCAGCCCGAACACACTGAACCTGAGAGAAGAGAAAGTGGGAAATACCCTACAACAGATGGGCACAGGAGATCGCTTCCTATGTATAACCCCAGAAGCACAGACATTAAGGGCAACATTGAATAAATGGGACCTACTTAAACTGAGAAGCTTCTGTAAAGCAAAGGACATTGTCACTAAGACACAAAGGCAACCTACTGACTGGGAGAAGATCTTCACCAACCCCGCAACAGACAAAGGTCTGATCTCCAAAATATATAGAGAACTCAAGAAACTAGACTTTAAAATGCTAATTAACCCAATTAAAAAATGGGGCACTGAACTGAACAGAGAATTCTCAACAGAAGAAGTTCAAATGGCCAAAAGACACTTAAGGTCCTGCTCAACTTCCTTAGCAATCAGGGAAATGCAAATCAAAACAACTTTGAGATATCATCTTACACCTGTCAGAATGGCTGAACTCAAAAACACCAAGGATAACCTTTGCTGGAGAGGCTGTGGAGGAATGGGTACCCTCATCCATTGCTGGTGGGAATGCAATCTTGTGCAACCACTGTGGACGTCAGTGTTTTGGTTTCTCAGGAAATTCGGGATCAACCTACCCCTGGACCCAGCAATTCCACTCTTGGGAATATACCCAAGAGATGCCCTATCATATGACAAAAGCATTTGTTCAACTATGTTCATAGCAGTATTATTTGTAATAGCCAGAACCTGGAAACAACCTAGATGCCCTTCAATGGAAGAATGGATGAAGAAAGTATGGAATATATACACGCTAGAGTACTACGCTGCGGTAAAAAACAATGACTTCTCGAATTTTGCAGGCAAATGGATGGAAATAGAAAACACTATCCTGAGTGAGGTGTCCCAGACCCAAAAAGATGAATATGGGATGTACTCACTCATAATTGGTTTCTAGCCATAAATAAGGGCCACGGAGTCTACAATAGGTGAACCTAAAGAAGCCAAGTAAGAAGGTGAACCCAAGGAAAAACATATAGTTATCCTCTTGGCTAAGGGAAGTAGACCAAATTGCCGGGGAGAAAATGGGATCTTGGGGGTAGGGTGGGATGGGGTTAAGGGGAGATGGGGAGAGAAAAGGTAGAAGGAAAGGAGGTAGGACCTGGGGAAACAGGAGAATTGGGATAAAGGAAAGGTGGATAGGGGAGCAGGGAACCACAATTCTTAGTTAAGGGAGCCACTTTAGGGTGGGCAAGAGGCTTTACCCTAGAGGGGCTCCCAAGTGCCCAAGATGAGGTTCCCAGTTAGTTCCTTGGGCAGCTGAGGATTGGGAACCTGAAATGACCCTATCCTAGAGCAATACTGACGAATATCTTGCATATCATCATAGAATCTTCATCTGGTGATGGATAGAGATAGAGACAGAGACCCACACAGGAGCACTGGACTGAGCTCCCAAGGTCCCAATGAGGAGCAGAAGGAGGGAGAACATGAGCAAAGAAGTCGGGACCACGAGGCGTGCACCCACCCACTGAGACAGTGGAGCTGATCTACGGGGAGCTCACCAAGGCCAGCTGGACTGTGACCGAAAAAGCATGGGATAAAACCGGACTCTCTGAACATGGCGAACAATGAGGGCTGATGAAACGCCAAGGACAATGGCACAGGGTTTTGATCCTACTTAATGTGCTGGCTTTGTGCGAGCCTAGCCAGTTTGGATGTTCACCTTCCTAGATATGGACGGAGGGGGGAGGACCTAGAACTTACCACAGGGCAGGGAACCCGGACTGCTCTGTGGACTGGACAGGGAGGGGGAGAGGAGTGGGGGGAGGGGGAGAAGGGTGGGAGGAGGGGGAGGGAAATGGGAGGCTGGGAGGAGGTGGAAACTTTTTTTTTGTTTATTTTTTTTTCCTTCTTTTCTCAATAAAAAAACAAGAAATTTGTGCAAAGTCAAACCAATCAACATCCAGTATGGATGGCACAAGAAGTCATGAAGTCACACCCCTAGCTGAGGAGTTACTGGGGACAGCTGCTGGGAGAGGGAGTCGGTTCTCTTCAGGAATGCAGCCCATAGAGGCTGCCCTTGCTCCAGTAGATGGCTCTGACATATGCACATGCAGGCTGCACTAAGTTGACTCAGTGGAATTTTTAAAAAGAACATTTGAAGGTGGGAGGTAATAGTGGTATGGGGGATGGGGAGGGACTAAAAGGGAGAAAACGGGTGAATTTGATCAAAACATTATACACATGTATAAAATTCTCAACACTATTTTGACTAAGAAAAGAGCAGAAAAACAGGAGATGTCAGGCGGAGGAACCCTAATTGACTTTCACAAAGCTCCATTATTTAGTGGTCTCTAGCTTTCCCTCCTATTGGAATTGAGGCTTAAGTGTGCACAGAAAGGCCCTTGCTCTGAGCTCTCTGTCAGAAGCCTGTATAAAGAGAATCTCCCTGAAATTCTGCAGTCTTGGTTTGTCAGTCACACCATAGGCAGTCCAGCTCTTTACCCAAGGACACGGAGATCACGTCTGGAGTGAAGAGAAGCAAAAGGGACTAGGATGGGAAAAGAACAGCTTTGAAAGAACAGCTGCCTTCTGCTCTGCACTGTGTTTTGTGATTAGTCCACGGACTTTTCCTTTACGTGAAATTTCACTGGAATCTTTCTGTCCAAAGAACCAAAGCTTTGTTTACTCCTAACCTTTTGGAACAATTTCTTGGCCTTGATTTTACTTTTCAGCCACATTTGGTAACTCTTGAGGTCTTCTATTTAGAAGCAGTCCTTTTGGCCTTGGCATTTGTATTTTTTAGTATTTCTGCTGACTTTGTGAAATTCTCATTCATATTCTTCCCCTCTCTCTCCTCCCGCTCCTCTCTCTCACACACACACACACACAGAGACAGAGAGAGACAGACATCATCTCAGGGCACAACTTTCTGTTTTCTCTTGTGGTGTCAGAAAGGGAAAGTCACTTTGCAAACAGAAAACGCTAGAAATAGGAGAAGTTGAAAACATGCAGAGACTGCTGGCTTGTTTTGAAAAGTATATATAAAATGTTTTAGATTAAGGTTTACACTTTTAGAAAAGTCATATTATGAAGACTTGAGAGGGAATTACTTACTACTCTCAATCTCCCACTTTCTCCAAGTGATCTGTAATTTTTAGGACAGTGTTGTTTAAAACAACCTTGTCAGCCTTGACTAATTAACAAGATCAATAGCAGCTGTGTAGGTGTGGATTTAATGTCCAAACACCCCTGGGATCAGAACTCTCAGGGTTACTGCAAACTACAGCACTTGCTTACATGATGGTATCTTTTTCCTTGAACTGATAAGAATTAAGCTAATTGTGTAAAGTACCATGGTAAGATCCTAGAACTTGGCCTACTGTGACATGATATGTGGGGGATGTGAAATAAACCAAGATCCTCTGCAAGAGCAGCAAGTGTTCTTTATTTCTGAGCCATTTTTCCATCCCCTAATGTGTGTTTTATAAAGGACACATTAATTGATACATCACAGGTAATTGTTACATTTTGGGCCAAAATCAAATTTGTTTTGTTTAACTTCTCAGGAAAGGGAAGAATATTTAGGCATCATAACAACAACAAAATGGTGTCACTAATTCTGAGATATGATGGCAGGGATTGGAAAGAACAATTGGGCTCTAATGGAGCAAAAGCAAGGGGTTGGAGAACACAGGTGGTAATGCAGAAGCAGGCACTTGATTTACTATGGTGATCTCTCTCTCTCTCTCTCTCTCTCTCTCTGTGTGTGTGTGTGTGTGTGTGTGTGTGTGTGTGTTAGGACCAGTGTGAGATGAAAACTCTATCAGTGAGTTAAAAATCTAACTATTCTGCCATATATTTAGTTAGTGCAATCTATAAAAATTAAATTTTATTATTACTTTAAAAGAAATATCAGATGACAAGCTGTAATTACTCTGAAGTGTTTAGGAGCTTTTGTTAATGAAGAAGCCGTCTTCTATTTCATGAGAAATTCCAGCTTTCCTTTCTAGAATCATGGTTTTGATGTCTCCTGAGAAGAGGAAAAGGATACATGGCTGTCCGAGGGATGCTCTGGTGTCTCTGTTGTTGTACATTACCTGCTCCAGTGGAAGCAGAAGACACGCTCGTGCCCCAGACCTGGGCTTGCAAGTCTTCGTGCTTGCTCATGCATCTTTGTGGCTTTCAGTCCCATACTCTGATGTCACCCTTGTGAGGAGGGAACCTGTCTTGCCTTGCATTCCCCATTTCCCTACACACAGTGCCCTCACTTGTGCAGCATGTCCCCTTCTTCCTAAAGTGTTCTCTGCACCTCCTCTTCTGATTTTCAAATGACCGCTCAGGCTTGAGGAGCCAGGTTCCATGGTATCCCAGGGACAACCTCTCCTGATGCCCCAAGGACAACTCTTCCACACCCCCACCCCTCCAGACTGCTGCATCTCTTAGCTCACCTGGAACTGCCATGCGTGGTGCAGGACTGTAGTTGCTCATTTTTTACCTCCATCCTGCTAACAGTGTGTAGCTACTACACCAGTACCTACAAACGGGTCTAAAGAAAATCATACTACATTCAAAATTGAGAGCTAACTTTAAAAAGATGTGTTAAGTCACAAAGCAAACAAGGAGCCTCCTTTTTTCTCAGAAAAATGTATTTGCAATTCAAATGTTCATATAAAAAGCATAGATTTTAAAAAGTCCATGGATGTACAATTAGAAGTGCTATGGTTTTGCCATTCATTGCAATTACATTCCGAAATGAGCAGGTTCCACTCCCTGCTGCTGCATGTATCTGTCACACGGATGTCACTCTCATTACCACCTCCCCAGAGCCATTGTCTTCTGACCCATCTTCATGGGCCCGCATCCGATTGAATAGATGTAATAGGACATAGCCACACTGAAACCGTGGTGAGGTTAGCTGCGTGGGGTGGACCAAGTTCCTGTTCCTCAGGGCTGACAATGGTAACCACAAAGTCCTACTTGTGGCAGAGTCTCCTCGGCTGCTCTCTTCAATGTCTGTGGCTTTGTCATAATTTAATACATCCCAATGCAAGTTGACAGCTCGCCATCGCTTGAATACTCTGTAAACTGCAGCTCCTTCATGGACAATGAGGCCTAAAATTCAAGAAAAGAAAATAACTATTGACAAAAGTTGGAAGCATTATCTTGAGTAAAGGAATTAAAAAATAGACTTATCTGTTCCCCATTATATCAGAGAACACAGCATTCTTAGGAATGGGGTAGCTACAAGCAAACTACTCCATGATAGGTAGAGGTGCTCATTATTCAGAGATAACTCAGTAACATGTGGTGAGTTTAACTGTCATTAATATAAATGTTTTCCAACATCCTAGCTCAGAGTACACAGAGAAGGATCACATTGTTTTTGATCATTGGGTTCATTTTTTAAACTTGACATTGTGCCAACTATGAATCATTCAGCACGTTATTAACTGGGACTGAATGGACCATCTAAGAGGTAGATATTAGGGTCACTACCATTTCCCTGCTCTTAAAGCGACAGATGACACAACCATGGATGTCTTGAAACCATAATAAAAATGTCAAAATCACAGTGGGAGGAAATGGACCCTTCTTACAGCATGATTGAAGTGAAGAGCACTGAACTTTTTTTCTTAGTAGATATATGTGATCAATGTATAAAAATATGAAAAATTGAGACTAGGGGAGCTTATAAAAGTCCTTTGAATTATACTTCACGTAAAGAAATAAGGACACAGATTATCAACTGTCATTCTGAGTACTTCTGCACCTGAGTTATTCAAATTTCCCAGATAATAGATAATTTATAAGTATTCGAACATTTATTGAAACCTTCAGGGAAACAAAGATTTGCTACCTTAACCTTGAAGAGCAGAGAAGTCAAAGTCATAAATAGACTACAGAAGGAAAAGGAAGAAAAAGGAATCTTCACAGAAGGAAATGGTTGGAGTTGAAGTAACAGAAAAGGGCACAAATCAGCCGAGGGACTTTAAGTTTGAAAGAATGAGGGATTAAAAGAGCTCTGATTTACCAGACACTCAGCAAGTGGGGGTTGAGCATATGCTTGTCTGGAGAAAATTGCCGGCCCCTTCCTCTCTTTCCCCCTCTTTCCCCCTCTCCCTCCCCCTTCCTTCTTTCTTCCTTTTGACCTTCTCTTTTCTCTTCCTTCCTCTCTCCATCCCTTCCATACATTTATCAGTGAAAACAATGCCAAGCAGGTGATGAACATATCTAGACCTTGAAAAAAGAAGTCAGACTTTTATTCGTTCACATTGCCCCCTTAGCAGAAGAAAAGTTTCTTATATATGTGACTTAACAGCTCGCCGGGACATTTACAGGCCCACTAAAAATGTGTGTGACCTGGTACATAAGCACATCTTCAAGGAAATAGCAGGAAAAACATGTTCTGTCCATCGTGAGGATAATCAATGATGAAACTCCTTTGCCTAAACGAACAACAGAAGTTGACCCAACCAACCAGTTATTTACAGGGAACAGCTGGAATTACAAGTCAAGATGACTATGTTTTAATTGGTGCTTCTATTATTAGCTTCCAGAATTAATCACAGCCAGTGAGTTAGTCTGCCTGACTTTCTCTTTCTTTTTTAAAATGCAATTGAAACACCCAAGTTTTGCATTGAGCGGGAGAGTTTGCAGATAAATTGCAATTCCTCAATACTGAAGGACTTGGGTTTCCTCTTAGATGGTAAGTACATAAATGTAAGAAATTACTCTGAATTACAAAATCAATAGTGAGTCTATGGATGTGAGACCTTGTTCACACTAATCAAAAAGCAATTACAGTCCAAGGTATAGTACATTCAGAGTGTGTGCGGTGGTGATGAGGGTTGCAAGATGGCTTTATCATAGAAAACACTTGTTTTTCTGACATTTTATTCCTTTTCCACTCACTCTCTTTGAAGGGCTAGAAGTTTGACCATTTACACGAACATAGATAGAGTCACTTTCTAGGAATATATTTTAGAATCCCTTCCTTGAATATAAAAACCACTCCAAAGTGCAGGAATAAGTTCTCCTCTCCCCTGAAGTACCTTCTGAGTGGTGTTTAAAGAGAATCCCTTCAAAGTTCTCAGAAGACACAGTCCTTTTTTTTCTGTCCACCTCCATAGGTTACTTATAAATTATATCAGTCATGAATCATGTCTAGATCTTGTTTTAGTCCTCATAAGCATTCAGAGCTGCCCTTTGCCTTCTAAAACTTAAATTCCCCTAAACAGAATGAACCCCATGCTGCCTACAAGGAACCTCTTGTCTCCTCTTCAAAGTCTCTGAAGCCGTGGCAAGTGCTATTTGAGCTGGTGCCTATGGGAAGACATGACTACCAGGATCTTAAACTAAGGGTTAGGATTCATGCAAATCTAGCTCATTGCGCTGAAAAATCAACATTGAAGCACTCTATCAATGGTACTTTCCCACAGGTCAAAGGAATTTCAGGCTACATAATAAGAGGCTTGAATTCATATTTCACTTTAGCCCTTAACCTTGCAGAGAAAAACAATGATAATTCCTATAAAATATAGATATTGACTAATTTAGGATATGTGTTATATTTCATATCATAGATGCCAACAGAGCATGAGAGTTGAAGAGTGTGGCGGGCATGTAGTCTTTTTTCTTGCCAATACATTTAATTGAAAATATTACTGATATTCAAGGGGCACTTTTGTTAAGCTTAGATAGGTTTTGACTTCATTGACATAAAAAATTTATTTAAGTAAAATCAATCCCAAATTTCAAAGTAGTATGTTAGCCTCAATTGTCAAGGACACAGAGCCTAAGAGGTGAAGGAGATAATCAAGGACCATGTATTCACAAGGCCACATGTCTGCCCGTGTGCACACATGTTCTCACACAGACACAAGCCATGTTTGTCTCTATCTATATGCGCACCTGAAGAATTGAAACGAACAGAGAGTTGGGCCAGGGGTGTGTCTCAGTGGTAGAGCACTTGCCTAGGTATGTTGCACTGCCCTGGGTTCAGTACCCAACACACAACAGAAAGAGGAAAGGATTGCGGAGGGAGAGACTTTCAAGCTTTCTAATCAAATATAAATTATATTGGACATTAACTACAAACCCTCTGGCAAGCAAGGCAATGTGAAGTTATAACAAGGAGATGTTGGTCCTAATGCCTCTATGAGGTATAAAGTATGCCAGCACCCTGAATTATCTGACTTCCAGAACCACAACAAATAAATGTTTGCTGTTTCAACCATCCATCCCCTAGTATTTCATTATATCGTATAATCTGACTTCAATATTATAGAAAATCTATCGTCGTCTTCATTTAAAACTTAAGTAAATCAAATACTAGAGGTTGCAATTTGAGAGACGTTACATAACTTGTTGCTATCATCAGCACCCCTGTGCTTTAGTGACATTTAATATTGATAGGATGCTTTCTATCCTATGACAAAATCCCTGAGGGAAATGATTTAATCAAGAGGATGGTTATCTGGTTCTCAGATTCAGGAGTTTCTTCACTTTTAAGTCTAAATAAGTGGAGCTTTGCACACATGGTGGCCCAGGGAGGGGCTTGGACTAACACCAGGCCGCATGGTGCTACTCCTGGTTTCTCCCACCTTCCACTAGGATCATCAAGTCATGGATTAATAGCAGATTAATTAATTAAGTAGGTAGGAGCCCACAAATCCAATCACATCCTCAGAACGTCACTCTACAGAGAGCACTAGGAATTAAAACTTCAGTAGAGTTAGGTGGTGGTGGCGGCGGCGCACGCCTTCAATCCCAGCACTCAGGAGACAGAAGCAGGGGATCTCTGACTTCGAGGCCAGCCTGGTCTGGTCTACAAGAGCTAGTTCCAGGACAGGCTCTAAAAAAACATACAGGGAAACCCTATCTCAAAACAACAACAACCAAATAAAAGCCGAACACATGTCTTCAAGGGATATTCCATAGCCCTAACAACAAACTTCAAACAGCTATGGCCCTGTCCAACCCCCTCTACTTCATAGGGGAAAAGGTCATAGAGTCTTTTTAAAAGACAATGTCACAAACTGTGAAGACTTTGTCCAGTGATTGGGTAAATTATTCTCATCTCGGTTCCCCCAGGCTGCGCAGCCCTCTGGAAGTCTTGCTCTCCTCCATCCAAAGGCCCTTGGCAAGGCTGGTAAGTGTGGCAGAGATCTGGCCAAAGGATAATTTTTGTTGAGATCTGCTAAAATTTCTAGTTTAAATTTTCCTTCGTCCCTTGCCAAGATGTCACTACCCCAGTACATGTAGGTGTACGCATGTACATTTGCATGCAAGTGTGTGTGGTCAAATGCTTTACGTGACAAGATCAGGCCCTGCAGGGGTCTGCACCTGTCCTCTGCAGGCACGTTGTGACTGTAAGCTTCATGTTTTTGTGGAATTTTTAACTGTGGGCGTGGGTGTGTCTTTGCCTACTCTTGCAACTCGCTTCCTTCTGTAGTGTTACCTTGTCCAGCTTCAGTGTGAGGGCTTTTGCCTTGTATTTTGGTTGGTTGTGATTAATTGTTAGAGTTCTTCGAAACATTAAAGTAATATTTTAAAACACTGGCAGATGGATTTAAATATGTGATTCAAAACTGGATTTAAAAAAAGCCTAAGGGGTCATGGCCCTATTTTATGACAACAGCTTTGCCTTCAGGGGAAAACAAGGATGAAGAGAAAGATCATTAGTGGCAAAAAAAAGTTACAGGGAGTTTTAGCCCCGCAAACTGTGTCCTTCTTCTCCACTCTTGTCAGCCTGGTCACCAAATACTTGGCTGAATCAAACAACTATGAACCCAGATGCTTACAAAATGACTGGGCCAGGACTAAAGTTTAAGTTACTGAGAAAAAAGAAAGAAAACAGAAAGCAAGCCATTTCTTCATCTCAAACTTTCTGCATGTCAATTCATCAATTGGTCATATTTTTACTGTTCTGATTACTTAGTAGTGAGAGACTTTCTTGATCATTCAGTTAGTAACCTTGGAGCACAAACCTATCACTGGTATAGTCATAGAATGTTTCTCCAAAGCTATAATAAAATGCTGCAGGTTATAAATCCAGGGCATGGCAAACAAGAGGACATTAAGGTAATCCTCAGCAGAATAATACTTATGTC